GATTTTTGCTTTGTTCCTTGACTCATGTAGGTAGAGTCTATGGCAAGCAGTGTCTTACCATCAAATTCTGGAAGGTAACCAAGAGCAATGGCAATGGTCAGTGTTGTTTGAGAGTCTATGGGACTCCTGGCCACAGCTTCAAAAGAGGGAGTCCATTCCTGGTATTGGGCTTTTTCTTTGCTAGTTTTCAGTATCTGGTAGGGGCATTGTCCCCCATTATAGGGTGACTCCATTTAAACTCTTTCATATTATATATGTACATACCTTAAGATGCTCCTATAGTGGTAGGTTTTCATATGGCTTTTTCTAAATAACTTTTAGTATTAGTTATTCCTCCCCATACTCCTTCTGCCCTGCCCACCCGTTCTCCACCCTATTCAACCTTTCTTTAAAAAAAAAATATTGATATGACATGCATATAAGGTGTTTTGGTCAAATCCATGCCCACTCCCTCCCCTCTAACTCCTGTATCTCCCCATCACTTTTTTCTGATAATTTCATGTACTCGTTCTTCTTTGATTTTTTTTTTTTTTTATGGGGCTTTTGGCTACTCTAACATTTCCCCCTCTGAAGAGGTAACCCTAAAATCTTTTAAGGATTAGATAAAAGCTCCCAAATATTTTCAACATTTTGGGCCTTTGGAACAGAGTAGGTTGCTAAGAGGCCAAACCACATTGTGAGTTTTAGCCAAGAAACTGGCTACTTTTCTTTGGGGTCTTTTTACCCTAACTGCCTAGCCAGTTCCTACCTCCTGTTCTTATCACACCATCCTCTGAAGAGGTTACCCAAATTTGCCAGTAGGGAATCAGGACGCTGACTGCTGTGGCTTCTTTTATGCTGAACAGGGACACAGAGTGAGGCAATTCAGTGAGTCTATAAAAGACTCCCAAATTGCTTAACTCTTATCTCGAGGAGGAAAACAAAGTCTTTGAATTGTGAATAGGAGATGTAAAGGAGAAGTAAAGGCAAGAGCAGTTAGCATTACAACTTCTAGACAGAGAACTAGAAAAAAGTCAGGGCAGGCAATTTTCAAATCTTCCTATGAGAGTCCATTGGAATTTCTTGACAAGCATTTCCAAAAGCATCCCTCTATTGGGTTCCTCCTCATTTTCTTTTGTCTTCCAAGGTTGGACTCTAGAGTGATGGATTTAGGATTTGCTTTCAGATATTTTGATAGCTGTTGGAGTGGTTAGAATCAGCATCAGTTCCCTCTCAAAGGCTTCTAGATAGGGGGAGAAAACAAATTTATCCGTCATTGTAGAATAATAGCTGGTTGTGTCCCTTAGCTTAGCTACAGGTGGGCACTACAGGATTGGAGATTTGAAGCCTTACATCTGAGCAGCACTTTTTGGTTAGGGACAAAATCATCAATGAGAAATAATTGTCTAAATAACTTTTTATATAGACTTAAGCCTAATGTCTGTGAAGTGTAATCCCTTGAACTCTTAAAGAAATATACCGATGACTTTACTCTTTGGTTATACTTTCCTTTTGGGTATTTAAGACTGTACAGTTGGCCCAAATAAATCAGTTTATTTTTATTCTTAAGGTCATTTGAGGGTCTTTTCCTCAGGGTCACAAGGGCTTGCGAGGAGCTCCTGGCTCCTTTCTTTTACCAGTTCCATCTATGGGAAGATAAGCCAAAGGTCCTGCTCAACCATGTCTGGCTTCACTTGGAAGCATGACTGAGATGTTTCCTCTGAGTTGACCCTCCTCTTTGTAGACTGGACACTGGTTCAAGTCCATCTCGTGGGGTCTCCATGTCCTCCCTGAACAAGAGGACAGGTGACTTACCACAGTTACAGGACATTTTGAGCGATGTTCCATAGTCCCCTGGAACTTAGTCGACCTTGGAGGGCAAGGGGCTAAAACTGTCCTTTAAGTCCCTCTGACCACATTAGTGTAGGCCTCAAACTGTAGCTGTTAAATAGCCAATAAAGTTAGTTCCACCAGTCTGGTACTTTTAATTATCATGTACTGTGTAGATAAGGCTTCAGTAAAAAACCAAATCTTCTCAGATAAACTTTGTAGATATATATTTTGTTCCTTAAACTAGTTGACTAAACTATGACCATAGAAATTTTAAGATTATGTGTATATGATTTTTGTCTCATCCTTTATATATCATATCAACGTAAACAGACCTTCATCATTTGCTTAGGCTTTCTCATTTTTTCTATTTTGGAAAATATCTCCATTCCCATATCCTTTTAACATCTTTTACATTCTCATTTTCTTTTTTTAAAAAAATAATTATGAGACATAATAGCATTAACAGATTTTCCATCTGTTGTGAGACTTCTTTTCCTGTGGATGCTAATAAGCAATGCTTATTCCCTTTTAAGGTTCTAGTGTCGAACCAATGTTTGATTAAAGTTTTACTGGGGAACCAATGAATTTATTGAGCTTACTTACTGAGATAACTGAGGGCTGCTGAGGTGTATGTGTGACCTGAGGGTATGCGCACTGGAAAGCCTTTACCCAGCATGGGTCATGGCTTCTTTTCCTTTCTTACTTCATTCCTTCTTTTCCCCCTTTATATCACTTCATTTCATCTCTCCTCCCATGAAGTTTCACTGCCACAGCCCCTTAGTAGTTTCCTGACCTCTATGGATTTTCCAAAAGAAACATGCATATCTAAGAACATTTGTCTTTCTGTGTCTGGACTACCTCCAAATGATTGATTATTTCCAGTTTCATCCATTTACCTGCAAATTTCGTGATTTCATTTTTCTTAACAGCTGAATAATATTCCATTGTGTAGATAAAATATCCTTTCGTTATTCACTCATCAGTTTATAGACATCTAGGTTGTTTCCATCTCCTGTCAATTGTGGATAGAGTAGTGATGAACAAGGATGAAGAGTGGTTGCTGTAGTGGGACAGAGTCCTTTGGGTATATGTCCAGGAATGGTATGGCTGAATCATGTGGTAGGTCTGTTTCTAGGTTTTTTTAATTGGCCGCACCAGTTTCCACTCCTGCCTGCAGTGAATAGTGTTCCCTTTCCCCACATCCTGGACAGCCTTTGTCATTTTGTATCTTCACTATTCTGACTGGGGTAAGATGAATGTCAAAATAGTTTTAATTTGCATTTCCCTGATGACTGAAGATATGGAACATTTTAAAAAATATTTTTTAGCCATTTGAGTTTTCTCTTTTGAGAATTCTCTGTTTAGTTTCTTGTCCCAATTTTTAATTGCGTTATTTGTGTTCTTGATGTTTAGTTTTCTTACTTTTTAGTGTATTTAGATACTCACTGTCTGTCAGAGGTATAGTTGGTAAATATTCTTTTTCCCATTCTGTAGCCTACCTCTGCACTCAAGTGATGGTGTCTTTTACTTTATAAAGAAGCTTTTAAGTTCCACGAGGTCTGTGGTGGTTTGAATAAATAAGAATGTCCCCCATAGGCTCCAAATATTTGATTATTCTGACCCCTGTTAGTGGCGCTGTTTTGGGAGGCTTTAGGAGGTATGGCCTCCTTGGTGGAGGAACCATGTCACTGGGGCTGGGCTTTGAGAGTTCTTAAGTCTTTCTAGATTTCCAGTCTCTCCCTGCTTGGTGTGCCTGCTTGAAGGTATGAACACTCCTCTTTCTGCTCTGGCTACCTCCTACCCCATACCTCCCCGCCATGACAGACTCTTCCCTCTTAGGAAACTTAAGCTAAATAAACTCTTCCTTTTATCAGTGGCCTTGGTCATGGTGTCTTATCATAGCAACAGAAAAGTAGCTAAAAAAGTCCCATTTGTCTGTTGTTGGACTTAATGTCTGTGATGTCAGAGTCCTGGAAAAGTCCTTTCCTGTGCCTGTAAGTTCCACTGTGTTCCCTACTTTCTCCTGTATCAGATTCGGGGTATCAGGTCTTATGTTGAGATCCCTGATCCATTTGAAATTGAATATTGTGTGTGCTGAGAGATAGGGATCTATTTTCGTTCTTCGTGTAGCTATCCAGTTCAGTCAGCACTATTTGAAAAGACAACTTGTCTTTTCTCCAATATGTATTTTTTGCTCCTTTGTCAAAAATCAGGTGGTTGTTAGTGCATGGACTTAAGTCTGGATCCTCAGTTGTATTCCTTCAATCAATGTGTCTGTTTTTACACCAGCATCATCCTATTTTTATACCTATAGCTCTGTAGGCCTAACTGGTATAGTCAATGGCTTTTAGGTTAAAAGCCCATGCTACAGGTTACGATAGTGAATAGTAGATCTAAATATATTGCAACCACAGAAAAAATTTGCTCAAATATGAGGCCATAATGGTTTTGTTGTTGTTGTTTGTTTGTTTGTTGTTGTTTTGTTCTTAGCTTATTATACTGCGATGGGACCAGCCTTCTGCCTACAGTTCTTGATTCTGTGCCGTGCTTGACAGTATTTTAGCCCAGGGATCGTTTCGTGGTTTTTAGTTAATATATGCATTTGAGTATTTTAATTACAATCATAATTTTTAATATTTTGTTTTTATTTTATGTGTATGAGTGTATTGCTTGCATGTGTGCATGTGCATAAGTGCTTGCATGCAGTGCTTGTGGAGGTCAGAAGAGGGTGTTGGATCCCCTGAAACTGGAGTTACGGATAGTTGTTAGTCACCATGTGGGTGCTGGGAACTAAACCTGAGTCCTCTGTAAGAGCAGCCAGTGCTCTTAACCACTGAGCCATTATTCCAGCCCTACAGTCATAATTTTTGATAGTTATTACAATTATTTATTTTCTTATATAATATCTAGTTCACGTTCATTAAAGTGGATGACAATAACACTTATAGTATGTTATTTTCTGATTGATATAAAGCTTTATTGTTTCTGATCATTGAAAAGTAGAACTATTCCAGTAGTTAATATATTTTTCTTTCTTTGAAAACACGGGTTTTGAGAGTATTTTAGAAGGGCTTTATGGGCCATGGCTAAATTATTTGCTGATTGACATTAAGTTTTACTGTTTTTTGATCACTGAAAAGTGGAACTATTCCAGTAGTTAATATACTTTTCTCTCTTTGAAAACACAGGTTTTGAGAGTATTTTAGAAGGGCTTTATGGACCACGGCTACGAAGAGACCTCAGTTTATTTGAAGGTAATATTTGAAATTTTATTTAAAATTATAACCTCTAGCCCCATTTAACAAATGAAAAGTGGTTGTTCTAGGCTAGCTATATATTAAACATGAATTTATGGTCTCTTTTCATTTTAGAATATTTTAAATGAATAAAATATTTTAAAGGACTCCAAATATGTCTCATTATATATTTTATTTTAATATATAAATATTTAATATTTAATATTTAAATATATAATTTCTTTTAAAGGCATAGTAACTCCAAATAAAAAGTGTAGTTTTGTCTTCAACTCAGTAATATAGTTTTTATTGTGTCTACTTCATAAATTGCATGTCATAACATATCCTCAAATAGGATTTAAATAAACTACACAAATGTCATATCAATTAAACTAATCCATTTCTAAGTTACTTAGTTAAATTGAGTTAAATAATATGCTCTATAAAATAAGTAAATACTAAATATCTGTGTCACTCCAATTTTATTTATTTTATTTTTTTAAGTTTTTGTACAATAAATATTGTAAGTGTAGCATATTCTCCAGCCCATCCCACCCACCTTTATCTTCACTCCCCTTCCGACTCTCATTAGTCTTCTTTGTTCCTCTAGACAGACAGTTTTACTTCTAACTTTCGTGTCATACGTACATACATCGTTTTGTGTTTCTAAAATCTAGGGACCACAAATGAGAAGAAAATGTATGATATTTGTGTTTCTGAGACTGCCTTAATTTACTTAAAATGATTGAATTCAGATGCATCCATTTTTTTAATGCCATAACTTTATTCTGTTTGGTTGAAAAGTTCCAGTGTTTATACATACCGCATTTTCTTTATTCCCCTCTTATTGGACACCTAGGTTGGTTCTGTAACTCAGCTTTTGTGAATAGTGCTGCAATAACCATTGATTTGCAAGTATCTCTATGATATGTTGACTTGGAGTTCATCAGGTAACTAAGAGTGGTGTAGCTGGGTCAGATGGTTATGTCTATTTTTAGTTTGAGTAATTTCCATACTGGCTTCCATAATTTATTGGAATAGTTCACATTCCCACCAGCAGTGTATAAGGGTCCCTTTTGTCAGCATCCTCACTGGTGTTTGCCACTTGGTTTCTTAAGGACTTATGTTATGATTGAGGTGAGATAGACTGTCAATGTACTTTTGAGTTACATTTCTCTGATGGCTAGTGAGGTGGAACAGTTTTCCTATGTTTAAAGCTATTTGAATTTTATCTTTTGAGAGCTCTCTGTTCATTTCATTAGCCTATTTATTGATTGCGTTGTTTGATTCATTGTTTTGTTTTTTTCAATTCTTTGCCTATTCTGAATATTAATCTACTATCAAGTATATAGTTTACAAATATTTTCTCCCATTCTGTGGTTTGTCTCTTCACTTGACTGTTTCTTTTGCTATACAGAATGTTTTTGTTTTTGTTTTTGTTTTTTTTTTGGAGCTGAAGACCAAACCTAGGGCCAGTGCTCCACCATTGAGCTAAATCCCCAATCCCCAGAACGTTTTTAATGTGTTGTTAATTGTTAACATTATTCCTGAGTGACCAAAGTCCTGTTTTACTTCTTTGGTTAGATTTATTCCAAAGATACCATTTATTTTTTGAGGAAGTTATGAATGAGATCACCCCCCCATTAGCATGTTTGTTATTAGTATACATGAAGACTATTCATTTTTTAATCCTTCCATTTTGTTCAAATTGTTTATGAGTGTAAAAGTTTTCCGGTAGTTTTTAGGGTCTTCTATGTATAGAGTAGGATAATTTGTAAATAAGCTTATATTTACTCCTTCCTTTCCTATTTGTATCTCTCTTATTTTCTTCTCTTCACTTACTACCCTAAGACTTCAGGCAGTATATTGAACAAGAATTGAAACAGTAGACACCATTATCTTGCTCCTGGTTTTGTGTAAATACTTGGAGTGTTTCCTTATTTAGTGTAATGTTAACTGTAGGTTTAGCTGTAGCTTTGTCATATGCAGCTTTTATTATGTTGAGTTCCTTCTTGTCCTAGTCTCTTCATGACTTTTATAATGAAAGGATGCTGGATTTTAAGCAAAGCCATTTCTCATCTATTGAGTTGATCATGTGATTTCTACCTTTGAGTCCATTTATGTACTGCATTTACTTATTTTTATTTTTTTATTGGGGGGAGCTTAGGTATGTTTATTCCTGTGTAAATCATTATTATACCAAATTCTGGACTATCACTACATTCATTATCTGAGTGTGCAATGGCTCCTGGGTGGTTGGTCCTTCCCACTCCGTAGCCTCCTCTCCAGAAGCCCTTCCCTTGCAGACTAGAACAGCGGGGGCCAACACACCTCATCTACTCCCAGCCTTCATCAGTTGCCTGAGTGAGGGACAGAACCCAGGTGACCCATCTTCTGTCTCCCTTCCCATCAGAGGCCATGATTGAGGTAAGAAATCTCTTCAGGAGTGTCCTTGGAGATGATGACCTCAGCCCTGAGCAGCTTTTTGCAAGGTCTTGTCACAGGTACTGGTCCTGTCTTCACAGACCATGTGTTTGCACCCTGAGTCTATGGCTCCCCTGAAAACTCTGGCTCCAGCTGGATTTCTACTTTGATGACTAATGACTACTGTGTGGTTTGATTCCAGATTTCTTCTCCAGTGTCAAGAGATACTCTGCTGGCTAGGTTTTTCGTATATAGTCCGCTCTGAGTTTGCTGAGGGTGTGGTTCACAGAAGTCTTGTGCTGTTTAGTCTTTTTAACATGGTCTCCTGTGGCAACTCTAGTTGGGTGCTAAGTGCCAAAGAAAAGAGAGGTTTCCTGCTGTCTCTGTTCTGTCCACCAGTGCACTGTGCATTCCTTGTCTGGCTCCCCCTTCTTTTTTTGCTTTTTAGAAGTTTGAGTACTGTAAATGCAGTACAAATTTTCTGAGCCTGTTTTTAGCCTTTTACTTCTAGCCATCTGCTTTTGACATTTCCTCTTACAGGGTGTAGGGAACCCCCGAAATCAAGCCAGTCCCCCGAGAATGGACCCTTGACTTTCTCTCCTACTTTGTAAAGTTTTCTATTTTAAGGTGCCATTAAAGCTAGAGATTTTTGAGGGTTACATCTTCTGCTATCCATTTTCCAACTTTCCCCAGTTTGTTTCCTAGAGATTCTGGCAGACCATGCCTGCATGTCAGCTCAAGAAAGCATAGGTTTTAAATAACCACCAGTTAAGTGAGTTTTGGTAAATGGATGCCAAGTTCTATTTACTTTTCGTTTTATTTTTATATTTTATATAGCTTTATTTTTTTTGGTGAAAGACCAGTAAATATTGGGAAGTGACCACAATGTGGCTCTGAATTTACACATTGACTTTGCTTAATCTCTTTTTGTCAGGGTATTTCTTCTAATATCTGAAGAGCTAGAGTTGCTCTTTTCTAGGCAGAAAAGGTGTAGAGAAAACATTGGTTAGAAGTTAGAAAGCAGTTTTATTTTATTTTTTCTTCTACTAAGTTTGAGAAAGTCACTTAAGCTTGTAGCATTACATTTGTAATCTGTAAATCGGGCTTTGTTGATGCCGGTTCTGTGCATCTGTGTCACTCTACGCAGAGAAGTCCTTCATCATAGTTGGTAGTGATGATTTTGTTAATGACTGATAATAGAAAAAGTATTTTAAAATTAAATCAGTGTATTTCTTATTAGGTGTGACCTGGTTTGATTTTCTTTTTAACTGTTCTATCTAAAGGATATCCTAAGTGTTTGTGCCATAGTAATATTACCACCTTGGTTTCAAAGTGTGTCTTTTACTGATAGGCTTTTTCTCATATGTGCCAAAAATAATGACTATTTTGTCTACATAATTTTAGGAGATTTCCTTAAGATTCCTTTATGATTATTTTCATGTGTGTGTTTCTGTATGTGCACGTGTAGGAGATTGAGGGATATGCACATGCTACTGCACACGTGGAGATCAGAGGACAACTTTGGTGCCAGTCCTTGGCTTTTACCTTTTTTGAGACAGGTTTTTTTATTGTTGTTGTTTGCCTCTGCATTGTTAATGCTGTCCGATGAGCTTCTGAGGACTCTGCTGTCTCTGCCTCCCATCTCACTGTAGGAACACTGGGATTACAGACAGCCACTGCCTGGGTTCTGAAAATTCATACTCAGATCCTCAAGCTTGTGTGGCACGTGCTTTACTTATCTACCTAGACTGAATTTTTTTTTCTTTTTTAGTATGAATTTGAAAAATGAGTATATGTATTATTTCTGGATCAGATTTTATTTCCAAATGTTACAACATAATTATAAATGATTCTAAATTTTTCTTTAAAGGTTCATCATCATATTTATTGGGACTTTTTTTTTTTTTTTTTTTGAGATACGGTCCTACTATATAGCTCTGACTGATCCAGAATTCACTATGTAGAACAGGTTTGCATCAGACTCACAGAGATCCACCTGCCTTTGCATCCTGAGTACTGGGCTAAAGGTGTGTGCCACCATGCCTGGCCAAGAACTTACTGTAAAGAACAAAAATTTACCACTAAAGTGAAAATTGAAAATAATTATTTTTAATGATAAAAGCTCATGCTTTTCAAGGGATGAGGTTATTTTACTACAACTCAGGGACCCTGGGATATTATTTGTGCAACATTCCTCAAAAGTCTTACCAGTGTTAAAGCCTAAAAATATACAAGAAAATATATCAAGAAAATAGACTTCCAAAAGATACATATAATGCTTCTTATTAAAGGCTTTTGAAAATAATTACAAATTTATGGAGATTAAATTACACACTACTCTAAAAAGAATGGATTAGGGCTGGAGAGATGGCTCAGTGATTAAAAACACTGGCTGTTCTTACAGAAGACCTGGGTTCTAATCCCAGCACCCACATGGCAGCTAACAACTGTCCGTAACTCCAGTTCCAGGGGGATCTGACAGACTCTTCTGTCCTCTGCGGGCATCGTACGGAACAGGTGCACTTACCTACATGCAGGGAGTACACACATACACATAAAATAAAAGTAGTAAATAAAATATTTTTTTAAAAAAG